TCAAATCAAATATAAAAAAATTTTTTAATTTTTACAATGATATATTAAAATAAAGTTATTATAAAGGTTTAATTAAGTAATTGCACTAAAAAATTTCAAAGATAGCTTTTACAAAGTAATTTTAGTAACAGGTAAATTTTTACTATTAAACTTAATAAAATAACTCTGCAGTTTCGGTTTTACTAAGAAAACTTAGTAATAACCGCCATCGCAACTTCAGTTTATTAAGAAAACTTAGTAATAGCTATCATCTTGGCTTTGTAACCATTTTATTATTAAAAAAATGTTTATGAAGCTGCAGAGGCGTTTTTTACTAGATTTCTTAGTAAAATAGCATCTCTGAAGCTACGGAGGCGCTTTTTACTATAGTTTTCTTAGTAAGAATTACTCCTGAAGCTTTGAAGATGGCTTTACTATTTTTACTATTGATTCTAATCAGATCAAATATTTGAATACTTGATTTAAATTTGATCGAATCGAATCAAACATTGATTTGGATTTGATTCTTTGATTTGAATTTGATCAAATCAAATATTCAAATATCAAATCGAAATGCGGAACCCTAGATGCAACGATAAATCTAAACCATATTTTTGAGTATAAAGTATTCATGTACGTTGTCCAATTGTGTCATATCTGTTCCTTCTTTATAGATTATTGTTAGCCTGTTACCAAAGATTTTTTGTTATCATAATTACTAAAAAAAGCAAAAGATGATTTATTTTGTATTGGAGTTGAGATCGAGATCTCAGTTAATTAGATCAATAACTCAGGGTTGAATTTTGCAATATTTGTTGTAATCGGGGAAAGGAATAGTTCATTATCTAATTGGGTAATTTTCATTAAGATTGCCTTTTTATAATCTGCATATGTGAAAAATCTAATTTAGATGATCTTTGTTTGTTTATTTTCAGGGTGTATGTGAACTGATACACCAATGAATGAGATTAGGTATAGTCTATTAAAGATCTTATTAGCTGAATTGATTTTTTCTTTATTTGGATGATTTGGAAGAAATTTTTCTGCAGCATAGTAAGCAAAGTAAAGATGAATGTTGTCTTTCCTTGCAAAAGTAATGATATCTTTGTTATTATGATTATTGGAGTCCAAAATGTTTTCAGAAGTGTAAAACCTTTTATTTTCATCATATCTTTTATTTAGTGTGAAAGCTATTTCAAATTGTTTACCCTTTTCTTGTAAGGTTAAGGGAGCTGGATTAATTTTCATTTTACTTTCTTTGGTTATTTTATCAGTTTTTATATTTTCTAATAGAGCAGAGTAGTTAGGGATATCAAGTTGTTTTTTTTTATTGCTCTTTTATTTTCTGGCGAGCCAGAATAGCTGTGTTGAGCTTTTTTTCTTGGGTTGTTGTTAAATTTTTTTCCTACTTAAGTATAGTCTGGTAGATTAATGAAAAGAATTTTTTGGGATTTCAGATATTCTTATTGTTTTTTTTAAATGTGCTGTAGTTTCGCTGAATCTTTATTGAAATGATAAATTTATATAGAAGTATAAAAAAAATATACGAAACAATAAAAATTTCTATCTAATTTAATTTATATTGTAAAATAATAAAAGCTAAACTAAATCAAAACTGATCTTGCATATTCTCAGACCAATTATCTGTAATACAAATAACCTTACTAGTTTAGGAGAAGGGTCTGTTTATTACTGATTCAAAAATCCAACTAGAAGGTATCATAGTAGAAAGCATCTTTAAAATGTTATGAAATATCTATAGAATAGTTATTTGACAATTTCACAAATCCAGATGAATGCCAATTAGTCTTTTTTTTGCAAGTGTAATATGATGGGTATTTTTATTGGACTTGAGTAATATATATCTTTCTTTCTATATTACATAAATGAGTTCATAGGTATAGTGAAAGTAAGCGAAAGTATCATTTTGATAAGATGAGAAATTTAATAAGTGTGTTAACTTTTTTATATAGAAGAATAGGAATAATATCAATAAATGTATATTATAATTGGGGGGAACAGTGCAGTTCCCACTAAGGAGCAGTAGGCTTACCAATGCCTTCTTGCTACATATCTTTGTTTTCTTTTTCTATTTCTCGCATCTATAGCTCATTATAATTACTAATTATATTTTTTGCCTAGCTGGAGATTCCACAATCTCAGAAATACTATTTTATAATCTTACTTAGCTATACTTTTTGAAATCTAGAACAAAAATCCTAGGATGCCTAGGGACGCCTAGAGGACGTCAGATATGTTCACGAGTTGAGGAGCATCGAAGATGCGATGGGTTGCGAAGCATCGAAGATGCAGAGCATATGTACACAAGATATATACATAAGATATGTTCACAGGTTGAGAAGCATCGAAGATGCAATGGGTTGCAGAGCATCGAAGATGCAGAGCATATGTACACAAGATATGTTCACAGGTTGTGAAATATCGAAGATGCGGAGCATATGTATACAAGATATGTACACAAGATATATTCACAGGTTGCGGAGCATTAAAGATGCAGAGCATATGTACACAAGATATGTTCACAGGTTGCAGAGCATCAAAGATGCGGAGCATATGTACACAAGATATGTTCACAGTTTGAGGAACATCGAAGATGTGACAGGTTACGGAGCATCGAAGATGCAGAGCATATGTATACAAGATATGTTTACAGGTTGAGGAGTATCGAAGATGTGACGGGTTGTGAAGCATCGAAGATGCGGAGCATATGTACACAAGATATGTACACAAGATATGTTCACGGTCTGCATTTGTATGATTCCAATCAGTGGATCCTGAGATATTCGCGTCCAAAGTAGCCAGAGCAGTCAAGCAGTTTTCTTATCACAGATTAGCTAAATAGACTCACTCCTTCGGTCAAGACCTTCAGAAGAAAAAAATTATGTAAACCTAGCGTAGTTGAGCAACAAAATGCTCAGGAGAATCCTTCTCTATTCTTGAGGCCTATCAGATCGATTTGGATTCAGAACACTAGTGGTTGGAGATGAAAGTTTGTTTTTTATATAATTAGCTTTACTATAATACTTTCCAGCATGTTTTACACACATTCCATAAGAAGAAGTCGTTAGTGTACCACATTCACCACAAGGAATACGAAATTGCCTTTTCCAATGAATGTGACATCCTTCTTGCCAATATCATTTATTTTCACATATACGACTATCAATATAGGGATATAGACAAGAATAAAATGCCATGCCTTCCTATTATTTCACAACTTCGAAGTGTTTTACAAATCAAAAATTAGTTTATATAAGGAAATATATTATGTTAACTGCTTGTTAGCCTGCTAACGATTTTACAAATTAAATATTTTCTGAGATTATTAAAACGAGATGACATCTAATAATGATAAAAGAATGGAATCTTTATCTCAAGTGATTCCAGAGGAGCTAGCAAAAAAAATGGAGAAAGCATTGCTAGAAGTATTGGAAACGGCAATATGCCAGAATTTTAAAGAGAGTAGTAAATTTGTTAGAGATCATCTTACCTATGTAAAAAAATTGCGATTGGCAGAAAATCCTGACGGATATGCTAGATATATTGCAAGAAAACTAGTTTCAGATAAAATATTATATAATACAAGATTAGAGAAGATTTAAGCATGGTATCAGGGGAATTGCATACTAAACTAGAAGAATTATATAGCCTTTATTATGAAATATCTTAGGAAGAAAAATGTGAAATATCTAAAGATAATGCGAAAGGAATTATTCAAGGACTTCTTAACATGTTACTTACAGATGATTAGCTCTGCTAGTGAAACTAAATATGTAAAGCTGATAACTTTTTTAATTTGTTAACACCCACTGGGGTGGCAATTCAGAATCATGAGAAATTACTAGCAATTCTTCGCATATAAATGATCGTTCAGGACTATTGTTCTCATTATCTATAAGCCAAATAGAACTGGCTGATTTTTTTATACAAATAATTTTTTAATATGATAAATTTGAGGAGACCAAATTAAGTCTCCAGCACGACGACTTCCACTCTCTAACTCACCAGGCTCAAGCAAATATCTTACAAAAGTATTATAATCCAATCGCTTTTCATCATATCCCATAGGCCCATCACAGGGTTTAGAAGCCTTAGCAATAACACTTTTTTTTTCTATAGCTACAGCAGGAGCCATACCAATTTGGCGAGTTATGGAATTATTAATATCTTCAACAAATAATTGAAGATTTTTTATTCAAGCCCGAGATCTTTCAGTAATAAGAAGTAATTGATCAGAAGCATCTTGAGGAAATCCACATTTTTCTCTTAAAGTTCTATTATAACTTTCAACAATACCCATAGCACGCTTAGTCTTGACCTTCTGAATTTTCACGCTATATTCTCTCATTAATTTCTCACAATCACCCCTGAACTCTGGCCCTCTATCTGTTAAAAATGTTTCCGGCCAGACAAGAGAGCACTCAGAATCATCATAGATTTTCTCAAGAGCTCGAGCAATAGTCTTTGAAGTTAAGATTCCCTGCCTATCCTTGACACTATACGCGCTAATAAGAATAGATACTTTATATCTCGAAGCCACGTTCACCACATTAAGGCAAAAAAGATAGGTGACTTGTCCTACTTTATCATAAGGCATGTAGAGAACATCTGCCTGGTAAACTTTATTGGGGGTAGTAATAGAGCTAAATCTTACTCGTGGAATATACTTTGGCCATGGTCTATGAATCTGATATACAGCCTGTCTTTTGAGCCAATCGCGTACTTCATTTAAGGTAAAATTGAACCCAGCTTTTAGAGAAGCTTCATGCAATTTTTTCACAGTCCTCTGATAACCTGAAGGTTGGTAATAAATCTTTTGCAAATCAATAGATATATCTAAATTTCTAGCTTTACTCAAATCTATTTGTATAATAGGAAT